CAGTCATCCTTTTAAGAGACTCAAAAGTGAATTAATTTTGCTCCAAGATATCTGACTGACATTCAGACTTTGTAATTTTAAGCAAAGACTTGAGATAGCGTCTTCAGGAGAAAAAGATAATAGATCATTATATGCTTGAAGTGAATTTTATTTGGTTCTAAAGACTTGAGTGAAGCCACAAACCATGCCAAAGACAATACTTCTGCAAACCAGGAGAAGTGAGAGGCAATTTGATTTCCAGGTTACAATCAGTTAGGATAATTCAGCCTTGCCAGATGGTACAAACATTTTTAAGATAATACATCCAAATTGCCTGACTTTAGCAACTTGCTTTCTTCTATCTCAAGCACCAATAGAGAACTGATCAGTGGCCTACCTTTAAAAGAAACAATCATTGTAACAGGATAAATGAAGAAAGAAAGTAAAGAAATAAAAGGAGAACAGGTAAATGGAAAGAAGAACTGAGAAGAGCTAAGGGGCTTGTTTCCATGCATACATGGAAGAGGGGTTTCATTCAACATTTTGTCATTGTTTCATCAATTTTTTATTAATTCACATTTTTCTGTCTCTACAAAAGCCTTTTCTTTTAGACTGTGAGATTACAAATGTATAACTCCATTTTAGGTGAAAGTAATAAAACTACATTTGTACTACTTCTTTAATACAATCGTAGAAAGAAAAAAAGATATTTTTGAAATAATTACTGTTTGTTGAGGGTCTACTACATGTTAATCTAACAGGTATTTCCCACCTACTGTTCTAATTTCCCAACAGTCCCATGGCTAATCTCTCTGGTTTTCTCATTTAGTCTGTCTGCCTCTTTCTGAGAAAAGGATCAAATAATATTTAGTTACTGCATAACTTGAAAGTATTAGTTGTGGAACAAGAAATTAAAGTCATCTCATTATACTTTTCTTTCTATACCACTTAATGTCGATACTATGCTTAGATCTATAATCATCGTATTAGTGGAATGAATTAATCTATATTACCCATAACCAAGCCAGATCATTGTATTTTCACTCTTAAATATCTAGCATAGTCATTACATGACTTAACAAAATCTATGGCTTATGGATGTATAATGTAAAAAGAACTCACCGTGTAGGATTTCATTCATAACTTTATAACACAATTCATATGAGAAACAATTTCCCACACATCAATAAAGAATCCATCCAATCTGAAAAACACAAGATTCTTGACTGTTTCCATTGTCCTCACTGACGGCAGTTGGAGGTATGTGTGTACATTATATTTACTATGTTTGACAAACCATAGACTCCAGATGAAATAATCGTTGAATGAAATAGTTAATAGCTATAATTCAAAAATGTCTAGCAATTTCTGATTTGACCTGTAGTCTGGCCAAACTCATACTTTAAAGATGTTAAAATGTCTCTGTTAATATGTTTTCAACATTATGATAACAGGTGATCCAAGAACAATTATATTAGGAGTAGTAGTTTTCTGGGGAAACACTGAAAAACTAGAAATTCCTACCACTTTTTATATTTTAAAATGTATTGGTAGAGCCTACTGGATTACATGCACAAGTCTACTGTCTTGTAGAAACATTACCTCTTCTGCTAAACAATCAAAACGTTTGAAAACAGTGAGTTTTGTAGGTGAAGCAGAAAGACTCAGAAGGAGTCAGTTCAGGTAGTCAGTCACTGTCACAGGTTATCTGTTTTCTTATCAAGCTATTGTAGCTGCCCATGGGCTTAAAATGCCCAGGAAAATAGTACTTGTGGTGAAAGATTTCTGATTTTCCATCATTCTTTGCCTTTCTTGGAGTATACAGCTGTGGTGAAAGAAGAGACTGATGTCATCCATTTTCATCTTCCAGATCCTCTCTATTGTGATCAAATAAAAATAACCTCTTATTCCATAGCTTCCCTGGCAGAGAGGGACAATCAATTAGATCTAAGGGGATTAGTGTGACTTTCCAACATTTTGTTTTTGCCCTTTCGCTCTCTCTCTCTCTCCTATTTCCTGCCAAAAGTATAGTTGTAAGAACAGGAACTCCAGAAATCATATTGTTAGCCTGAAGGTAGGACTCACACTATAAGGAAAGGTAGAAGAAACCTGGGTTCTTCATGGCTTCCTGGATTATGACACCAGTTGTGAAATTATATTGAGTTTTCAACATTCATATTCATCAATTTTATTCTTATGAGAATGCAAGAGACTCTATTAGAGACTAAGCTCCTATGAATTATCTCACAGTAAGTAAGAATGTCATCTCACGTTCCTCACTCCAACCTTACCCATAGGGTGACTTGATGAAACCAGATCAAGTGTCTCATGCTAATAAGTGGACACTACTCAGAGGAGGAAGAGATAACAGACTGTTCCCTGTGGATGCTTGGAAACTAGACAGCAATCTTCTGAAAGGAGAGGAAAATGTTTTACTGGAGTGATGATGATCCTATGACACTAGATAGAAATGATCTTGAATTTTCATTAGAAACATGATACAAGTTTTTAATTTGGGTCCAACAAACCCATGTCCTTTACAACTTTGAAGACATAAAGCTGTCTTCAGCATCTGGGTTTCACCTCTTCTAAAATGGACACACTTACCAAGATATTGCTCCAGTCATTCTGATTCTTTGGGTCTTAAGGACCTAATTTAGACTGTGATCACTTGCTCCCTCAAATCAGAAAAATCAAGTAGGTAAAATGCCTTCAGATCTAATTCACATACATAAAGATAAAAATATTCCTTGGGAAAGTGAAAATACTATATATATATATATATATATATATATATACACACACACACACACATACATGTGTGTAGTTGTATATATAGTATATATTATAATAGTATATATTATAATATATATTCTATAGATGTATGTGACTCAGAAGGTCAGGATTTTTACAGGGATTCAGATACATAAGGACAACTTTTATTCTTCCCAACAAGCTGCATCTAGACTTCTACCAGAGAATACACCTTGTGTCAAAATTACTGTAAACACATCTCTGTTAATAGCATCATATTATGGTTGACACTGAAGTATCAAGTTTTAAGTAAAACCTGCCTTTCAACTGATAGAACTACTGACAAATATAGTGACAAAAATACATGAAGCACTCAAAACAATAACCAAATGAATGCAGAAATGAATGAGTTTCTAAAAAACCAATACAAGTCACCCAAAACAGCCCATTAAACAGCAGGCAAAGATAAGCACACAGGGTTCAACGTGATTGTTGCCTAGATGATTGTCCCCTTTTATTGTCCTATATTGGAGTCATTTTTACCTTAGTTTTATTTCAACTTTAGTCCTACACATATGAATTTCTCTTTATGAGCATTCAATTTTATTACCCTCAATAGTCACCTGATTGATTTGAGAGTCAACTTAAAAGTAACCTCTTTAGGAACAAGTTATACTGTTATCTTAGTTAAATTAAATTATTTTTTAACATTCTTTAACTTTCTGTAGCAATTATCACATTAAAATTGTGTATTAAAATTAGCTATTAGAGCTCCTTTGAAAACCCAGTGAGATCTTTACATGTTCATTTTACAACTGACAAAATTCCCAGCATTTAGTTCAGTCCCTGAATTTTTATGTAGTAAAAAAGAAAAGAACTTTTCATTTCTCTGCCTCTCTCTCTTTCCCTTTGTAAAGTGTTAATTGTAATTTTCTCAGAATAATCAGCAAATGGTCTGCTGGACTGCTGGCAGTGTTTCACAGAGTGCATTATTTTCCAGCCATGAATCATTGTCCTATGGTTGTCTGCTTTGCGATATGGCAGTAGACAAAATTACACTCTGAAAAGGAGATAGGAGCAGATGATACAGCCCTAGAGAACTGATTTCCTGCTTCAAATATATTTCCTGATTGAAGATTGCACACCTAGGAGGTGAGATGAGAGAGCTATTTTATAAAAGTGTCCAGCAGATGTACTGCAGTAATCCCCACTGTATTCATCATTTACTAAATTGCTCACATACCAGAGGTATAATCCAATGTAAATGATCTCATCACCCATCAGTATGAGGGCTTACAAATTCAACTTGGCCTCGAGCTAAAACTTGACATTTCAAGGTTCTCAAATCCACAGTAAGTAAGCAGTATATTGATGACTTCTTCGTGTCTCTTTTTGAAACAGCACCAGCTTTTGAGAAATGCAGGTGTTTGGGATCTCGAAATAGAAGTAGCCAGCTGCCCTTGAGGTACTTGGGGCACGGTTCCATATTTCCTACCCCTGATTTGGCCTTGAGAAAGGAACATTTTGTTCAGAAGATAATGGAGTTGACATCATTTGCATTCTGCTCATACAAATACTGAAAAATGAAATTTAAAACCTTCATTTGAAAAGTGTCCCTTCTTGCAGTTTCACTGCTGTTGCTGTGTATGTGTTCTCCTGCTGTGAAATCAGAAGAACCAGAGAATCACCAGATTGGCAGAAAACTTCAGGGGCTGCTGATGCATGAATGCATCCCAAATAAAGGGTTGTTAGACCTGAGGTATGTTGACGAGCCTTTCTGATCAGTGTTTCCTGAACCATAGCTAGAAAGAACAAGGTCAAAAGGTTTAAAATCTACTCTCCATGTTTATTTTTCCTTTCACAATTCTGGCCAAAATTACTTTCAGAATAATTTTATTTAGTGCCTGAGTATTCACCACCCTATTAATGTTATGTAGCTAGTGTGGTGTATTGACCAAAACTGATTTGTTATAAATACCAGATACCTAGTCCTTGCTCTAAATCCATTTGAGGAAAAGCACACTTCCTAGTCATCTGGTCTTGGACACAACAGTCATTCTACTTAAGTTTCAAAACTTTTTTTTAAAATTTAAAGTGAAACAATATCTTCTTTTCTCTAAGATTAATTTAAAGTTGAAACTAGATAACATTCAGAAGTATCTAGATAGGAATGTTAATTATTTTCTTGCCATGATTTCTTTAATATTTTATATTTTCAAGCATATACATGCAAATATAAGATTGCATTAAATGTTTATTACCTGTTTTTCCTATCGTTACTGTTTTCTTTCCTCAGTGTTAACAACATCTTCTCATTTCCTTACAATTTACAGCCTTACTTTATTCTTCAATGTTATACCAAACTGTTAAGATTATTCTTGGTTGTGAGTCACAAATAAACAATTTGAATTTCCTAAATAAAGGAAGAAAGAAGTATTTATTGGAATAATATTGCATAGGTCTAACAAAGAAAAATCAGTAGGAATTAAATAACCCAGGAACGATTGTTTTAATCTTCTCTCCTCTTCCTCTTCACCTCCTTCTGCAGATAATTCTTATCTCCAGGCTGTACTGAACATGACTGCTAGAAACTCTGGACTCTCATTCTTATAACTACTCAACCAGAAAAGAAACACAATTTCTCTTTCTTAACTTCATATATATATGTATATTGGGCCAATCACAAAAGTCTGAACAGGGATCTTAAAATTACCCAGCAGTAATTAGCCCATTTTGTGAGTAAGGAACACAGTATCCAAGAGGTGAAGTAATTTAAGTGCATATCAAATCTGTCACACTTCCAACAGACAAGACTCAGAGCATGGTAAGTAGAAGGTTGCTGTTTAAATGTCCCCCCAAAGCCTCATGCAGTCATGGAGGTGACTGAATCTAGCATTTGCGATTGGTTCATGCTGGGATTGGCGGTATGAGTGATGCACCTGCCCAGGGGCAGGGAGCCAGCGTACAGTATAAGGTAGGGAAAGATGTGTGCTTTTTCCTTAGTTTTCCCTTTTTCCTCTTGTTGCTTACAGCTGCCCCTTAGCCAGGCCACCCTGCCTTGGAGCCAGCCGAGTATGGACTGAAATCTCCCAAAACTATACACAAAATAAGCCTTTCTTTCCCTAATTTTGAGCATCAGGTATTTTGTCTCAGCAATGAGAAAAAAACTAACCAAGACAAGGATATCTTTTCTCATGTAGAGATATCAGTAAATAAGTTGGTTGAAGTATGGCAGGCAGAAAGTTGGACTTGAAACTAGAAAAAAATACATCTAATTGTATATTTGTACCTTATAAGACTAACACTTGGCCAAGCCAGGTTTACCTTATTTTCATTGTTTACCACATGGAAATAGCAGTGATCACTTCATGATACTCTGGAGAGTAGATGAAAACACGTACCCTGTATGTCTTGGCATGGAGAATAACAGTGGAGAATGCATAGCTCCTAATTTTCTTGCCTACTCTTCCTGAAGTAAGACCACTCAGTTTTAATGAGGACACCTCAGATAGCCAGTAACATTTCCTAAAAATGTACCCAATTTAATGCCCATGACGATTGCAGCTTCTAAGCAGGACCTGAGTGCTAGATAGCATAGAATTTACCTGCTGAAATAGAAAAAGTCTGCACCACATAGCTTTTTTGTGTTATATCAGAACCTTTGGGAGAGTTTAAAGAATAATCTAGCTAAACTCCAAGTAAATCATCTTGACCCTTTCATTTTTATACAAAAGGATTCTGATGCCTACAGAGCACATATTTTCCAACTCAAAATAAAGATTCTAGTACCACCATATACATGTGTGTATTTTTAAAGAGATTCATCCTCCATATATGTGTAAAAAAGCTTAAGTTGAAGTTTTCTTCACACACACACACACACACACACACACACACACACAGAAGAGGAACACTTGTATGTTCCCACTACAGTACAGACATACACCAATGATCAGGAAGGCTATTTTGTTTTGCTTGCTCTCTCTCTCTCTCTCTCTCTCTCTCTCTCTCTCTCTTTCTCTCTCTCTCTCTCTCTGTCTTCTCTCTCTCTCTTTGTCTCTCTCTCTCTCTGTCTTCTCTCTCTCTCTCTCTCTCTCTCTCTCTCTCTCTCTCTCTCTCTCTTTCTCTCTCTCTCTGTCTCTCCTTTGCAGTACTGGAGAAACCAGGGTCTAATTACTGAGCTACATGACAGGTCCTTTTTACATACTGTGAGAAAGGCTCTTGCTAAGTTGCTCAAACTGGGTTCAAACTTATGATCCTCCTGCTTCAGCTTGTCCAGAGTACTGAGATTACAGAATCCCCTCTTGAGGATGGGTTTCTTGGGCCAGCTATATTCTCCTTGATAAAAATAAAACTTCAAAAAAGTCTCAAGTACAGTATCTCTGTCTCCAACCTTTGGATTTCAGAAAAGCAGCATAGAAAAAGCTGAAATGGTGCTATGATGACAACAATACTTGGGGCATTAATGCCAAAAATGTAAGTCACACACAGAGTCTTCTCCACATGGTTCATTCAGCCACACCATTAACATTCTTCTTGTGGTTTGAGGTCAAGTCTTTGAGAAGTTGTATTCATTTGCGTTAACTTTTCTTTCACGTGTGTATACATTTTCTCCAGCGTATTTGTAGAAATGGGTCAGTATCAAGAAGCAGGTAATCCTTGATTCCATTAACCAGCTTAAAGTCCTAAATAGAATGAACAGACACAAAATCCCCTGTGAAAGATAAAGCATAGTCTAAACCATCACAGTATCAAGAAGCAGGTAATCCTTGATTCCATTAACCAGCTTAAAGTCCTAAATAGAATGAACAGACACAAAATCCCCTGTGAAAGATAAAGCATAGTCTAAACCATCACTGCTAAATTCAAGCTTTCCCTTACATTTTCTCAGTTGTCTTCATGAGACAGAAACTGAAGCATTTTCATTTCCAGTAACATTTGCATAGTGAGCTAAGTGTGGTTCCACCACTTAGGAAGTTATGGCTGCATTGATATTTTCAATAACACCAGAAAAATAGAAGAGACATCACTAATGAACCAAGCCCCAAAGCAGATAACACCAAAAAGTTTGCCCCAGTGTTGCAAAGAATGATGTAATACTCTGTAAAATTAATCAAGTGATTCTTTTTTGTGGTAAATTGTGTTACTCTTTGTTTTTCTTGGCTGGGTCCATGCTCCTTTTAAGCAAAATGATAAAAAGAAAAAAATGAAGAAATAAGTGCTTACATTTTGAGCTTTAGGATACACATTGGAAAGATATGATAGAAAATAGTCATTTAAATTATAAAAACTTAGCTTTTAATAACAAAACCAGAACCCTGTCAGACTACAGGAATAAAGCTTATGCAAAAATAATGCTGTAGAATAACAACTAATCAGTCTAACAATGACCTTTACATGAATGTATGCTACATAAAGACCTAGCATTGGAATTTAGGCAGAGTCAAGGAGGAGAGAATTAAGAGCACGCTGTGTGCCCAAAGCAAGAGACTTGTGTTATGACTTTCTGATACTACTTTTGGAGGATGATTGCCAGGTCAAAGTGTGTAATAAGATTTTTGTGGGTTTGGGGACTCAAGAAAATGAAAGATTTGTGTTTCTATCTGAGTGAATTCCTGGAATTGTGAAGTTCAGATAAATAACCTTCTGTCAGCCTGGTACGGATACTTCAGTAGTTCCCTGGTGGTTTTGTCACACTGTAACAAACTGGGCAATTTAGAACACTAGAAATTTATTCTCATATTCTAGAGGTTAGAAGTCCAAAGTCAAGGTGTCAACAGGGTCAAACTCTCTCTGAAACTCTAGGTAGGATGCTTGCTTGTTGCTTCCTAGCATCCAGGGGTAGCTAAACATCCTTTCTGTTTCTTGAATTTGAAAATGCATCTCTCCAACATCTGCCTCCATCACAACAAGGCTGTTATGTTCTCATGTGTCTCTGTCTTTGCATCACCTCTTATAAGGAAATCAGTTTATACTGGGTCAGGGCCCACTCTAGTGACCTCACCTGCACTTGGTTACATATTTCTAGACTTGCTTCTGAATAAGATGATATCTACAGGCACCTGAGTCTTGGACTTATACCTTGTGAAGGATATAATTTAACCTATTAAGAGAAACAATAGGGAATTCAATCTATAAGAGAGACATAGGATAAAACTGTTACCTGATATGTCTATACCAAGGTGTTTAGACGACTACAGATATATATATTTACCTTCTTTCATTTTTAAGTGTTTTTTAAAAGACAATAAAATCAACAAAACAAAACAGAACAAATCCAGTCAAAACAAAACAGTGAAATTGTTGCGGAACTTTGAATCAGGATAATAGGAAAACAACAGTAGCTTCCATAGTATATCTTGTTCTCTTCACAATAGTTGTCCATTCCACCAGATATAGCAAAGTCAAACCAAAACAAAACAGAATAAAACCAATCAAAATGGAACACTGAATAAAGCAAAACAATTAATTGGAACAAAATAAAACAATGAGAACAATACTGGATCTCAAAAACAAGACAGAAGGAAATCCTCCATATTTGCTAAATTATATACTGTCATCCTCCTATTAAGTGCTCAGATTGCTGGCCCTAGGCCTGCAAAGCTAGCCAAGTAACACAAACATTCAGTTGCTTTTTGTACCTCAGTTGCTATCAACTCAGCCTGTCCAGGGAACCAGCCGGTTGCTTCCTGCGGGGGAGAAGGAGTTGGTGATGCTCAGTCCCTGGAGGAAGGCTCCCTGGAGGCATGGTGTGGCTTCACTCTTCCTGGGCATCACATGGCTTGCACAGCTTACCAGAAAGGCTGGCTAGTTGGATTGTTGGTGGGCTCCACCCAGTCCCAGCATGGCCGATTCTCAGGGAGTGCTGACTTCTCTCTTCCTGGGCCCCATATGGCTTGTGTGGATCACCAGAAAATATTTTAGAAGTTCAAGAAGGATTTGTGAGAATGATCAATTATCCCCTCTCCCCACTGTGCCAAAAGTGGGGTGGAAGTGGTGAGAGAGGGATGGGACCAGGAAAGACTCACCATAAGGTGACTGTGGCTGCCTTGTATGTGCTTACAGGCCATTTGAGAACACAAAATTCTTAGCACATGAAAGCATGGAGCAACCTATAACCAGGTGGGAAATACAGATTTAATAGGATATCAGGTTGAATAGGTACATGACAATCACGATACCCCACTATAGTTTACTACCATTGAAACTTTGATGCTACTTGAAGGCATCAAGATAGTGTGTCTTCAACACCCCTTGTTAACTGAAAGGATGAAAAAGTTCAATTAGCAGAAAAGCTCTGGATACATTTATACAGATTCACTGATAAATATTTTCCAATTGGATTTAAACAACAAGAAGAACAGTAATTGTTATGTTGTCATTGAAGAAAAGAAAGTAACATTCCTTGCCAACTGTGATCTGTGATCTGAGATTTATACATATGATATGTATAATGGAAGGTGGAAAAATTCTCTGGGACTCGCTTATCAAAGATACACCAATACAGAAACTATCATATGTAGTTCATGCTGCCAATGTAAAAACACAGAACATATTAGAGTGAAACACTGAAACATGAAGAGCTATAATTTCATAGGAATCCTGGGAGCTCAAAAGTGTGCCTCACAGAGGTAAAGACTATAATCAAACCTGGTTGCTTTTATTCTGTCTGTACCTATCACTTTTGTTTTGACAAGCGAAGATCATTTCACAGCATTGATTAGGATAGTTTCCACAGACTGATTCACTGTGCATACACATCTCCTACTGCATGAAATTGTGCAGGCTATAGAGATGATGGAAGAGAACATGGCATATTTATGGGTTGGAGTTGTCTGAAAACACTATGTAGATAAAAACTACAATAGGTTTGCTGATGCAGAGATTAGGTAAGAATGACAGGTTTACATAGGATACACTTCTGTTTGGGTCTCAGTTCTTACTACCTAGTTGATCCTGGACAAGGCTTTTAATATTTTTAAATCTCAGTTGCCTAACATAGCACATGAACATGATAATAGCATTAGTCTTACATAACCAAAAAGGCTCACATTAGATAATGCATGTTTTAACATTTAGCACGATGTCTGAAATACAGTAAGCATCAATTAACATGAATTATTACTCTTATTTGTTTTGTTCACATAAATGAAGTGTTGTCTTTAAAATGAAGAATGAAATAAGAGAAGGAATTGGGTAGTTGCTTTTTCTATAGGTTCTACATAATTAGACAGTCTTGGATTTGTGGAGCTTCCAATTTTTCCCATGCAGCATAGCTAGGTTGGATGACCTATAAAACACTGGCCAAGTCTGAAATTGTATAGTTTGTAAGAACAGACAGTTGAAGAGGTAAGCTGACTTAAAAGCATGCCATTATCTGGTGCTATAAGACTTCAACAATTGCCCAACTATTTTATATACAAACAAAGAAGGTTTGAAAACAATGCCTTCACTAGCCAAAGGAGCTACCAAGAACTATCCCAGCCTTCATTCGCCTTTTCCACAAACCCAAACAACCTTGATTCTTATTTCTTGGTTCTTATTTCTAAATATAGCAGCGTCATCTTTGCTTGGCATTAAATGCCATAACAGAAAGTCCACACCTATCTTTTACCTAATGATTTACTATGCTACCATGATTCCAAGAGTTTTCTTGCTAGTACAAATGCAGCAATGAACAAGTACAGTTTCTGTTCCCTAGCTTCTCTTATATAGACTTGGAAGGTAGGAGCTCCAGATGAATTGTGTGGTCTTCTTTTCTGCTGGCATAGAATTGATAGACTATTATCACACTTCAATAGTTTGCTTATGTCTACCTGTACGGCTCAATACATTGATCAAGTTTCCATTCTTTAACAAAACACCCAGGATAATCCACCTATAAGGACAAATGTCTTACTTTGACTAACACTTTGGAGTTTTCCATCCATAATGTGTTGGCTCCATGGCTTTAGGCCCATGTCAAGGCAACATACATTTGAGGAGCATGGCAGAACAAAATCATTCACTTCATTAGCCAGAAAACAAGAGAAAAGAATATGAATGAGATTCGGCTCCACATCTGCCTAAGGCAGATGTGCCTTCTCCCAGTAGCCTGAAGGTTTCCCAGAAGTCCCTCCCTGTTAAAATTCTCACCTTCCCAACAGCACCACCCTGAGGTCAAAACTTTTAAAATTGAGCCCTACAGGGACATTTCAAGCCCTAAACCATTGCACTCAGCAATACAAAGCCAGAGTTCATGATTTACTTACCTTTAACCCAGATGTTTAGAATAATGCCTGCATATAGTTATGAATGAATATTTTATAAGATCGCTTAATAAATCAATAAGCAAGTAAATCTGAATCATATATGAGATTGACTTTATACACTGAAAAAAGTGGAGATTAGAGAAAATGCAGCCTGCATAGCAAGTGTCATTTATAGAACAAATTTTTAACTTTTATTCCACTAGCACCTTTCAATACTGATAAGCAAGCAATTCAGCTCTCAGGTTTTTCTCTCTCTTGCTCAATCTCTTTCTTATTGCTACCTTAGTCTTACTGCAAGACAATGTCTCAATTAAGTTTCATTCTTTCATTTACCCAACCACTCAGTTGAAAAATATTGAGCATATTTATAAAAGGGACTGTGTTAAGTTCCGGATATAAAATTGTGAACAAAACCGGATGTAATGCATGTTTTAATGGAGTCTGTAGTCTATTTGGACAGATAGCCATTAATCAAATAATCACTCTTGCATATGCTTTTTATTGGTTAAAAGAAATGGTATTTTAGAAGAATATGTAATAAAAAATGAGTCCTAAAATAAAGAGGCTTCTCTGAATTATTGCCTTTGTATTGAAAATTGAAGGATAAATTCAGTGAATTAGACTTAACTCACTGCAGCAACACTACTGTTTATAATAATTGAACCACTAGATCATAATATTCCAACTGTTGCTTTAATCAATATATTCATTGTATATTGAAACATTTTATAACAAATTGAGACATGGAAAAAACTTTGACAGTAATCAGTCTTCATAGAGTAAGAAGAAAGAAAATACTACATTTGAGAAAGTATTTTTGAAGGAACACTGACAATCCTAAGAAGCTATGCAACCACTAGACTAGGGTCTTAGAAGCTGAGTTAAGGATTGTCATTATAACTATCAGAGAGATGGAATGATGTTAAATACTTTTTATCAAGAGAACGTCTTAAAATATGTACATTTTTATATTACGCTGGCTGCAGGACAAATGTTGGGAGTGAAAAATGAGAGAATTCTGTTAAGTGGGAGATTCCAGTAGCTACTGTTAGAGAGGCAGTAATATCGAATACTAGGTGGCCATAGATTTGGAAATTATTAGGTTGTACATTTGCCAGAAGATGATGATGTATTGACTTTAAGAATTACTATGAAAAAGAAATTAGAAATAACTGGAAAATATTTTGTGCGTAACTGATGAGATCAGTTTTGGACATGTTGAGTTTTGGTGTGCTTGGTAACTTCTAAAAGATGTTGAACATGCCTTTTCATGACCACCTATTAAGAACTCAGAGTTTCACTATGAGTTGAATATGTGTGTGTGTGTGTGAAAGGGGTGGGAAAACTATTAAGTAGATGAGAGGTATTGCCTCTACTGTGTACGAGATGGCCTGAGTGGCAAGTTTAAGTAAGAAATGTACCTGGAGGAATTTAATATGTTATGACAAGCCAGCAGAGAATGAATGTGACAGGAAAATAAATAAACACAGATAGATAAACATGACATAAAGAAGGACTTTAGCATTAGAGAAGAAAGGGAAAATTAGGCTTTTAAAAAGCAGAGTGGTCATGTGTATCAAATTTTGTTGTGAGGTCAAATAAGACGAAACCTATATTCATGTTTGTAGGTCCCAAGTGATCCCAGGTGACCAGGTCTCCATGAGGAATATTGTATTTTGGTTTAATATGGGCCAAATCTGAATCTTAGACATCACCTTCTGCTCAAACAGTTCAATACAGCAGTGCATTGACTTGGCTGATAACAGGGCCAGGCTGGTAACATCAAGCATACAATCAAAGGTCATACAATCAGGTCATCCAGTAACCGGGAAGGTCTCGGTTGTAGTCAACGTTTGTGCTGGAATACACTTACTACAGGACACATAATTTTTAGGTTATTTTATACCATTCACCAAAAAAATCAAAAGCTAAGGAGTTTAAGAGATCTGTCTGCAACTTAGACACCCAAAGAATCCAGGCAAGGCCCTAGACCCCACTGCAGTGTTCAGCACAAGTTCATCCAAGGGCCTTAAGGCCATGGCAACACCTTTCATGAGCCCAGCCAGAAGCCTGGAGACCACAAAAATGTCTCATACAAATCCATGTGAGAGATCTGCACCAGGGAAGACTTAAAGGGCAGTGGTAAATGCTAGAAAGTCTACACTGGGAAGTGGAGGATCTGTGCAGAAGGCTAAGGGATATGCACTGGAGCCAGGGAATGATGCTTAAGGCCAAGACCAGAGCTCCAAGAGAGAGAACAGCAGCCATACCCAGTGACAGAGAGGAATGAAGCACCAACTCTGAGAATAGCTGGGTTTGTATCAGGAAAACCAGCCATGTGAGGAAAAGTTGCTGTGGCAAGCTTCTCCAGGAAAATCAACAGCATACTTGTTTTTCCTTCAGGATTTCTCCCTTTACTCCCTTGGCAGCCATCCTAAGGGGTGTTTCCACATCCAGAACCAAGATGATTCAATTCAGCTGGGCATTCTCACGTGAAGTGGCCGTTACTTAATCTATCACATTCTCCATTCTTTTTGCAGGATTCTTCCCTCTTCCTTGTACCTGTGCTCAGTCTTGATCAGTTACCAGGCTGTTCTTTCATAAAGGAAGATTAAGTTATTCGTGTAATTATTTGTTTTGTTTTAAGGTTCCTTAGTGTTGTTCTGTTATCTGGACATCCTCCAGTCACGACTGAAAATCCTGGGCTGGGCTGTAATATATTACTGAGTAATGTGTAGTGTCAGTATTCAGAGATGCTTAGTGAGCCTCAAGGATTTGTTTGGTTTTTGTTTTGGTTTGGGTTTTTGTTTGTTTGTTTGGTTGGTTGGTTTTCAGTTCTCAGGATTGAACTCATGACCTTACACTTGCCAGGCAGGTGCTTGCGCCACTCAGCTATATCCCCAGCCCAGTGTCATGGATTTTTATTAGTCTTTTAGCCACAGTATATCTCTTACAATATGCTATGATTATAAAACATTTATTAGCTGTGGTTAACTAGGTCCCATGTAGTCAAAGAC